AGTTGACTTTTCACAACAGAATGGTTTGAGGGTCACCTTGCCATTGGAAAATGCCAGCATTTAGATGAGCCATTATGATAAATGGATATTATTCAATCAATTGCCGTAAATTATCATCTCGCCAGACTGCATTGTATAATGCTGGTACTCTCATTTGATGTATGGTGTTATCATTTTAATTTATTATACTGTCATAAGGTCAGAATATTTATTATTCCCTGACATGTAGTGTGGGCAGGGGTTATAGCGGTTACCATCGTCCATTTGTCTGTTCATACAGTCATAATAAAAGAAATTGAACATTGCCAATCTTGATATTTACAATGGCCATACAGATTTGGTGGAAAAATAGATGTGAATTGCATGCTAATTTGCATAAATTATAGAGCAGTGAAAACTTTCTCTTCAAATTAAAATTCAACTCTCACCATCTTGAAACAGTATACATATGGTGGTCATACTGTTTTGGTGAAGACAAGATTGCCCACTGATTTTCTAACTCTATCACTACCTCCTCAATTGAGATGTACTGTATACAATACTCAGTAGATGGTAGATAGTACACTACCTCCAATCAAAACAGTAACCTCTACCAACTCCAGGTGAAATAATGTTGAAATAACCATGCAAATGCAATTTGTCGACCATGCAATGCATCGTGGGTAATTTAGCTAATGCTGGTTCTTGAATATTCCAAGTATTGCATTTTATCACTTGTGCAATGAATCATTGGAGATGTATGCAAATATGATTAGATGTGTTATAATTTGGCAAATTGCAATGCATCTTGGGAAATTATCTCAATATAATATTTTCATTCAATTTAATTATGAACTGTGTGCATATTATTGTGATGAGATTACAAGTAGCTTTGCAAATGCATTTAATATCAGAAACAAAAATATTTATCTGTGAAAATGAAAATTTGTCGTAGTAGCAAGTATTTCACTGTGTTCCTTACCCCATATAATGCCATAGTTGTACCATTGATTGCAGGTCTTGACTTAATTAAAATTTTATTTTAGTTTTTGTCAACTGCCTATAAAAAATCACTTTTAAGTGTTGCTAAAATTGACCAATTTGTGCGCAATTACAGAAACACATTTCCTCTTTTATAATTACATAATAATCCTGTAAATTATTTTAACTTGAAACTAGAACACATATTTAGAGCAAAGCCCAAAACTTCACAATAATGAGATCTTGCCAAAAATGGTACTTTAGTACAGCATGTGAAAAATAAAAACATTTTCAACCCAAATTGTATTACATTTACTTTATGTGACTTTTAGTGATATGTTGTGAATCCCAAAGAGTTATCTTGCCTAAACAAATTTTTCACTTATTTTTTCAAATATTTTTGATCAACACCTGTAGCCAGTAGGTTCAAAATTAACAAATAAAGTAGAGACAAATTAAGACTGGAAAAAGTTTGGTATTTCAAAAGTTTAACCTTCTCGCTACCCTCTTTTCATCACAAATTCACAAAATAGTCTACACTTTCTTTCAGAAGTTTGGAACAAAAATAGCCAAATTTTTTGAGTAAAACTGTAAACTGACTTAAATTTTGTCCATTGGCCCCAAAATTAGGGTTCATTTCCAGAAATATTGAAGAATACAAGAAAAAAATTTGGGCGAGAAAATCATTTGGTGAAAAGGTTAGGCATGTATGGTTACCTGTACTTTATACTTGACAGGTACTTTATGGTACTTATTGTAGACATGAAATCTATTGAATATCATTGCTAATTGAGCCTTCTCAATTCAGCTCTTGGCTATCAAATTTTGATATTGCTCAAATATAGAATTATAATAGGATGAAGACCTTGTTAGACATCTATGTATTAAGGCTGATTTTAATCTTGTTTTGACTTGATAGATGCATACAAGGATATAGCATTACACATTAATAACTTCATTATGTAAGCGATCTCATTTAATTAACAAATATATTGATCCAGATGTAACCTTGTCCATTATGCTATGAGGTCATACTGTTGTCATCTTGTGGCAGTTGTAAGATTATAGTTTTGAACATAATCCAAATAGCTGTCTAATATTTTCAGAATACACACATATCAGCAGTGACAATTTCATGCGTAGTTCGAACTCTTTCGGTACATGATTGGTGGCATTTTTGAGAAATCTACAATGGTATGCATTCAAGTTGAAACATGCATTTTACGATTTAGTGCAAAGACCTTGTATGGTTGTTTGATTATCCTTGTTGAATTCAATATTCTTTTCTGCTTCTATTGTCTGATGTATGTTGTGAAAATTGTTTGATTTATCGGCTGTTTTTGACGGTAATCATTAACCTCAATCGGTTGCACCATATAACGCAAACCGAGAGAGTAGAAATACTAGTGACCCGCTGCTCGTACCGCTAGTTGGAGGAGGTGAAAAAAAGCAAGAACGAGAGCGAGAGAACAGTTTATTCTTCACATAAATTATGGTATCACTACATGTATGCACATTTAGTTGACAATTTTTGTTTTCAATATTTCAAGCAGTTACCATGGTGATGTTATTTCATCATCTTCTTGACATTATGCTCAGTGAACAATATGGTTCATGGTTTCAAAAAGCGCATAATTTATTTTAATACTTCCATGTGATGTGTGTTGGCTCTCAGTAATCTATGGAAAAACTATTTTTGAACCAGTAACTGAGCTAAATCTCTACAGCGATCCAAACATGTCCTTGTACCTGCCCCATTGCTAATAACGTGATTGTTAATTTGACTACTATATTCAATATAAGGGAAATGATTATATCCAATTATGCTCGGCAGCAGTGACCTAATTTTTTTCTGGTCAGGGACAACTGACCATGCGCAATAATATACATAGCATCAGCTGATGTCTCATTATAGAGGATTTAAATACGTCTGTTTTAATATCAATGATGTGGTCAAAATAAAAGATAATTCTCTCAGTTTAGAGGGAAAAATGGAAATAACTTATGTTCCATACACAGAAAAGTAAATGTATTTCTTGTGCTCAATCCATTTATTTTAAAATGAAATATGATAAAATGTGAAGTGAAAATTAATAAATGCTGACAAAGCCATCTTATTTGGCCTTAGTGAGAGGTTCAAGAAATGTCATGGACATTGGCGCATAGTCATTAGCAGGACGAGGTAACACGTATGTAGCTTTATTTAATTATAGCGTCACATCATTTTTTTGGCCTTTCTCCAAAGGTCAATTGTGAACTGCATGATGGGAGGGTTTAGTCAATAGGCTAAAAATAGAAGTGACTAGGTGAAGCGGTCTATCAGTTGAGTTCTCACTCTGTGCATGTGCGGTAATCAGACTAATGCAAGACTGAAATTTTATCGATGGGCCACTTGATAATGGATATGTGTCCTTTCGTTTTTACAGAATCTATTTTTAACCAAGACCTAACCATGCAGTTTGATCCATCAGAAGCGGAAGCGCCACTCGTCGTTATAAAGTGTATAGAGATGGTTGAAGAAAGAGGTATGGATGTAGAGTTGATATATCGCCAGAATGTCTCAACATTGGCTATTAATAAAATCAAGCAGGCGTTCAACGTTGAGGTGCAGCATGTTAACCTAGCAGCGTATGACATCCACTGTATTGCTGCAACGCTTAAGATGTACTTCAGTGAGCTTCCTAACCCCCTCATTCCCTCAGAGATGTATGCAGATTTTGTCAGTGCAAGTTGTAAGTATTAAAAGCATTTTTTTTTTATTCATTTATGTTATTTGATTTTTGCAGGTTTTTTTGCCCATTTCTCATTTTTTTTTCATTAAATTTTACGACAATCAATTTGCAATGATTTAAGTTTCCATGGAAATGTGTGCTGGTTTATTCAGCTAAGAAATGGTATCATAGAGAAAAACAAAATTTATAATGAATTGAAGACAATAATTAAATTTTTACTAAATAATACTAAATACAATACCTAAACTAATGATATTTTTTTATTAAAACTTAACTAACAACAATGAAATGCTATTAGGTACCAGTATTCGTAACTTGTGTCCTTGTTGCTGCTGGACCTTCATTTATTTCCTCTTTTGTGTTTTATGTGCTGGTATAGTCCCCTTTGTTTTCTGTCAAGGTTGTTCATTGCTATGTAGCTATTGTTTAAGCATTGAACATACGTTGAATTTGTTTTAAATTATAAACCTTTTCATTGATTTGCATACAATATATTTTGTCTGTCTAGGTCAGGGTTGATTAATTTAATTTGTAGTTACGGTTTCCACTGCACTTCGTTGTGATCAATGTTAATTATATTTGGACTATGTTGTTAACAAATTTGCCTTTGTGTTATTGAGTGAAATTTTCCATCCTTGGTATTATTTGTGAATTATTAATAAATCCTCAACATGTTGAGACAAGCACACTGCATTGCATCATGCATTGCTTGCTTGCCTTATTTCTAATTGGCTAAAAGCAGCTGAGTGAAATTATGGGATATTCATTATTATACTTGCAGCGCGTCATGGGTTGTTTGCTTTATTCATTTCTGATAGGCTCAGGGCATTCGTGTGAAACTATGGGATATTCATTATAATACTTGCAGCTTTATTCATTTCTGATAGGCTCAGGGCAGTTGTGTGAAATTATGGGATATTCACTATTCAAGTTACAGAGCATCATGGGTTGCTTGCTTTATTCATTTCTGATTGGCTCAAAGCAGCTACGTGAAATTATGGGATATTCATTATTATACTTGCAGCTTTATTCATTTCTGATAGACTCAGGGCAGTTGTGTGAAATTATGGGATATTCACTATTCAAGTTACAGAGCATCATGGGTTGCTTGCTTTATTCATTTCTGATTGGCTCAAAGCAGCTACATGAAATTATGGGATATTCATTTTTATACTTGCAGCTTTATTCATTTCTGATAGGCTCAGGGCAGTTGTGTGAAATTATGGGATATTCACTATTCAAGTTACAGAGCATCATGGGTTGCTTGCTTTATTCATTTTTGATTGGCTCAAAGCAGCTACGTGAAATTATAGGATATTCATTATTAAACATCATAAGATATAATCAGCTATTATTTTCTGAATAAAATTACAAGATGCAATTGGTTTTTGTGCTTGCAATCCATCACGGTAGATTTATTTAATTCCATATTTGTATGATTGTTTGTATTCAACACTCTAGGATAATAATTTATATTTACACACCAGTTTGTAAATACGGTGGAATACTTTATTTTCGCTGGAATTAATTTTCGCTGAAAAGGCTTTTTGGGAGTTTTGCTTGGAATTTATTTTCACTGATTTTTGATGAGTGTAATGTGAAATATAGTATATTCGCTGGATTTTATTTTCATGGAATCATCCCTTCAGCGAAAATAGCAAAAATAAATTCCAAGCGAAAATAAAGTATTCTACAGTAATTTGCAAACTAATTAACTTTTCCTTCCAGTCCAGTTCCGTCCAAAAAGGGAGAGACGACACTAAAAAATTTTAACTTTTTTCTTCTCCTCTTTGTTTGATTTATAGCTATTCGAGATGACAGTGACAGCACTGCACGACTGCTTGAACTAACCAATCAGCTATCAGAACACCATAAATGCACTCTGGAATACTTGCTTCGTCATCTGAACCGTGTTTGTCAACATCCACACAATAAAATGACTGCTAAAAATTTGGCTTCTATATTTTGCCATTCCTTGCTTTGGCCACCAAGGGAAACAATGCTGTAAGTATACTTATCGGTTTATATTCAATCTACTCTAACTTTGAACGGTTATCTTTATTTGATATAGTCAAGAAACTTATTACAGAACTCCAGTTTGAAACTCAGAATGTTGATACAAAACTCTACACATGTTGACGTGAACTTTAATTCATTTTATCTTGGTCACGGAGCTACGTTTTAATGTTAAATTTACAGAGTTTATGTATTCTACAAGAATGCACCAATTATCGAGTATTGCCGCCGAGGGTAATGTGAATTTCATAGACATTATGTCCAACTATAATATTAACCAAATTAATCTGTCTCAACCTAGAGTATAAATTCAGGGGCATGTGCCAAGTTAGTATATGACAAATGTCCTTATTAGTTTGAAATGTTAGAATGAGCACTGATTACTCAGATATTATTTTTTAATGAGAAAAACTATCACTTAGCTGACAGTGACTGTTTTATTGTGGAAAACTGGACTCAACCACCCAGGAATAGCAATGTGTTAAAAGTTAAAAGCAACCTGCTGTGGTAGATTTCATGTCAGCCTAGGGAAATTGTTGAAAGTCTAAATAAAAAAAACATTGCACCAAACTTGTGACAGGGAAAAATATGGTATTTAAAAAGATTAATAAAGTAGTTTTGTTTATGAGAATCTCCCAGTGTACGTCCCATAGTAAAGCATGCAGCAGGTGCACTAAAATAACACTGCTTTGGTTTATTCTCTCATAATACTCTGCAACATCATTGAGTGCGGTAATTGTGAGACAAGTTTGTAATTATTTTTTTCTCCATCGTACGCTTCTATAGGCAAGTGCTACAGAATTCTGACGCCCACCGGCGAATCATGGAACTGCTTATAAAAAGAGGTGTGTTGTCGGAAGAGGACGCACTGCCAGGTTGGTAGAGTATTTTTTATTTTAATAAGTTTAATTTTAGCTAATAGTGCATTATGTATCAAAACTAAACAGACCATTTTCATCTTGTAGAACGACCACCTCCAATCCCACCGCGGGGTCGTGAAAAAAGCATTGATATGTCACCTAGAAGTTTAGAAGAAGCAGAATGGTACTGGGGAGATATTTCAAGGTGGGTACAACTTATTGTGATTATGAGAGTTTTGTTTGTGTGTTTTCTGTATAGAATGATTCTTTTCTGGGTATTCAGATTACTTTGCAGTTCATTTATTATATAAGGGCATGAGTACTGAATTAAAATTACATTTTTAGTAAGAATGAAGTTATTATCATATTGAAATGAGTAAACATGGTGATATTTTTGATTATTAGCATGCTTGTCAAAAAAATCATTTTCCAGCTGTCTAGGCACTATTTGTATATGCATAGTCAGATGACTAGGCACTGTATGTATATGCCTAACATTTTACTCAATATGTGTTCAATTGACACCACAAAGATCACTTTGACTCACTATTTTAAACAAAAATAAAAAACTATGAAAAAATTTATAATAATATGCAGCCTTTGCTCTTTAATCGATAATGATAATTTAAAAAAAAAATGTTTTTCTCTGCAGAGATTATGTGAATGAAGTATTGAAAGATACTCTTGATGGGACGTTTCTTGTGAGGGACGCGACTAATAAGGCGAGTGGTGGATACACTCTCACTTTGAGGTAAGTAACGAGAAACTATTGATCGAAACACGCATGTAAACAACAACCTGTATGTCAATTTTCAAAACATTTCGTCTGAAAACTTATCTTGTCAAGCTGGTTCTGAATCTCAATAAAAATGTCACATGATGAAATAAACATTTGCTAAAACATTTGTTAAAATGTTAATGATGCGACTTGCGCCAGGTTGTCTTAAATGTGAGTTCATCATGATTAAAATATGACCTACATCGAATTATAATAACTACCCACTCTGTGAACTTGTTTTATAGTGCAAAATTTTACCATTCTAAATGCCTTGTGAAATTTGCAAAATTAATTAAAAGTACTTGTATGTATTGCAACTATACTAATAATTTACACTAAGCTAGGGAACACTTATATTATGTATATAAGCTACTAGTATGATGTCTCTAGACCAAGCTAAGATTGGCATATATGAATGTCTGAAAATTTCTCTAGATAGGGAGACTTTGTTTTCGAAGTTCTGAATGAGCAATAGATAACAGGTGTGCTCTTTTCCTGGCTCTGTACATTACAATACTGTTTGTTAGTCCAATTAGAATTTTAAAATGAATGTTTTTTGTTTTTTTAACAGGAAGGGTGGGAGCAACAAGTTAATAAAGATCTATCATAGAAACGGCAACTACGGCTTCTCTGAACCACTCGGCTTCAAGTCGGTGATTGACCTCATTGATCACTATAGAGACGTGTCGCTAGCTCAATATAATAAAAAACTTGACGTTAGACTTCTCCATCCTGCGTCCAAGAAAACTGAACAGGTGAGTGATTAGTTTATGTCCTGTATTCTCAGAAATCATATCTATCATATTTGTGATTTAAAATTATATTTTAAGTCACTTGTCTTGCAGTTCTCAACAAAACATAAACTTTTACGAAATGTTGTAACTTCACTAACTCATGAAAATGTGTCTCTGTTGGAACTAAAAAGATTGACAGTATATTTTTAAATTGTTGTGTAAAACTTTGTGTTCACTTGTATTTCATATTTTCATTTTCCTACCTGAAAACTGTTGCTTTATTTCGCTGCCAATTTTGTTTTGGTTGAGTAATCAAATCTGTTACCATAAGAGTTAAAGTCATAAAACATATGGGGAATGAACATTTGTTAAATAACAGCTGTAAACAAACACAGCATAACCGATAAACATGTTGACTGTAAAACGTTTTATTTCATGAGATACAAACGTGATTTACAGGGAAATCTCAATATGTTGCAGAGGTGAGCATATCATTATGAATCCCTCATGGAAGTTCATTCAAAGTGGTTTCAGCCAAATTTCATCTAAGGAAAAGCGAAAGTAAAAGTGAATTGCATTATAAAATGAGATTAGACAAATGCACAATATGTACAATAGAATACTTTACTGAAATTTATTTTTTGTTTGTGTGATTTCCCAACAGCCCGAGGGACAAGACAGTGATATCGAGAAGGTGAAGGAGAAACTACATGAAATCAACGATGAATACAAAGACAAGACTGAAAGTTACGACAAACTTTATGAAATGTACAACAAATCAACACAAGAAATTCAGCTTAGGAGACAAGCTTTGGAGGCTTTCAATGAAACAGTGAAAGTTTTTGAGGAACAAATAAAAGTACATGAAAGTCACCACAAAGACGCAATCCCTGCTGAGGAGAGACAGAAGTAAGTACAAAACAAAGGATTTTAGTGATTTTGTCACTAGAGGGCGCTGTGGGTCTAATTGGTTGTTTCATAAACTCTCTTTTTTTTTTTTAATGAATGTTTTTTCACATCTACAGATTGATGGAAAACTTCCGACTCTTGCAGCTGAGACTGGACGACATCCTTTCAAAGAAAGAACAGTTGGAACAAGAACTGAAAAGACAAGCAGAAGAGAACAGAAATCTAGACCGAGAAATGAATAGTTTAAAGCCAGACATCCTGCAGCTTAGAAAACTCAGAGACCAGTATGTCATGTGAGTTGTCAGCCAATTTAAATAGGTTTGCATAAAACCATGTTAGATTTAGTTCTTCTAATTTTCGTGGCCTAAAAAACAAAAGGTTACTGTGTGGAGAAGGTAGATTGCTTTTCTCATTACTGTATAGAAAGAGTAGATTACTGTTCTTGTTACTGTATAGAGAGGATTAATTATTTTTCGTTACTGTATAGAGGGGATTGATTACTGTTCTCATTACTGTATAGAGGGGATTGATTACTGTTCTTGTTACTGTATAGAGGATTAATTATTTTTCGTTACTGTATAGAGGGGATTGATTACTGTTCTCATTACTGTATAGAGGGGATTGATTACTGTTCTCATTACTGTATAGAGAGGTTTGATTACTGTTCTCATTACTGTATAGAGGGGATTGATTACTGTTCTCATTACTGTATAGAGAGGATTGATTACTGTTCTTGTTACTCTATAGAGAGGATTAATTACTGTTTTCGTTACTGTATAGAGGGGATTGATTACTGTTCTTGTTACTGTGGACAGAGAGTATATTACTGTTTTTAGTCCCTGTTCGGACACAGTCCGAAAATGGGGACTTATGTTTTGACTTCCGTGTGTGTGTGTGTGTGTGTGTGTGTGTGCGTGCGTCTGGACCTGTATCTTAGAAATGCCTATACTAATCACAATCAAACTTCACACATACATCATACATGATATTATACAAATGTACATCAATTTGTTTCACGATCTGATTCAAGATGGTCCAATGGCGGCCATTTTTGTGCTAAAAATCATCAAAATCAAGCATTTCTCAGCTGCTTACAGATGGATTTTGTTCAAACTTTGTATATACATTAGACACTATAAGACCTTGATGCACATCATTTTGTTTCCTGATCGTATTCAAGATGGCCGAATGGCAGCCATTTTTGTGCTAAAAAATCCTCAAAATCTACCATTTCTCGGCTGTTTACAGATGGATTTTGTTCAAACTTAGTATATACATTAGACATTATGGGACCTTGATGCAAATAATTTTGTTTTTCAGATAAGATTCAAAATGGCCGACTGGCGGCTATTTTGTATTAATGAATGTGGTTCTCGTGCCATATCTCTGACTTGCTTTCATATCATGTCATAGATAAACAGATATATTGGTTTGACTATCCTATTCAAAATGTCCGAATGGTGGTCATTTTTGTGCTAAACAATCATCAAATATCAAGCATTTATGGGTGGATTTTGTTCAAACTTGGTACATACATTAGACATTGCGGGTTCCTGATGCTCGTCATTTTATTTTTCAGATTGGATTCAAAATGGCTGACTGGCAGCCATTTTGTTTTAATGATTGGGCTTCGCGAGCCATATCTCTTAAATGCTTTGACTTAGTATATTTAAATTTTATATATTCTTTATACATCATGTTATATATATACATGTTAAATTTAAAAAAATCATGTTCCCAACATGGTTATATTCCAGCTATATTACTATAAACAAAACTATATATCTTAAATTTGATAACTAACGGGGACTGTGCCATGCATGGCTTGTTGTTACTGTACTACCGGTAATTCATTACATTATTACCCAGCCGATTTATTGCTAGTGCCTCTGTATGTTGTCGTAATCATTTTAATTTGTTTTTGTTTTTCTGCGCTTCATTTATTTGATTTTGTCTTTTATTACCCTCAGGTGGCTTGGTGCTAAGGGAGTAAGACATGATGATATCAACTTTCTTCTTGGTGTTTCATCCAGGAATGAAGTGTAAGTATACGTAAACAAAAAAAAAATTGTCTGAATCAAACTGATTAGTATTCTTGCCTTGTCTTCTCCTAGTATTGAGGGTGTATGTGCCCTAATTCTGATTTATCTACTGTGTTCAAAAGCATCAACCACTCTAACGATACACAATTACTTCTCAGAACTTTTTTTTAGCCTGCCATCTGGTGTGGATCTCACAATATGTGTGTCACTGTTACCTGATCTCTCAGTCAACTTAATACCGAATGATTCACCATCACCTAATTCATGACTTTGATTTTTCACAAAGTGGCTGTTATTTCGTTTTTTTCAATAAATTTTAATCTTGATATTTCAGATATAGCATTAAAATTTTTGAAAGATGTGAAATTCTACTATTGCAAGTTTTAACTTCCATATTGCCATGACAACTATTGGTAATATAATGATACCATGTTTATTGATTTAACTTTATACTCAGAGCTTAAAAAGATTGTAATTTCTTTACGGTGATATTAAAGTGTTATTATTATTATTACCAAATTTACATAACTCAGTTTCTGCCACTTAACCATCTATATAATCTGTGTATGTTTTGCTTTGTAACAGACCACAAGATCAGATGGCATTTGATGTTGACTCACTACCCCACCATGAAGAATCTCTCTGGTTCTTCCCTAATATTTCAAGACAAGAAGCGACGGATATGCTAACTAACAAGCCAAACGGGACATTCCTCATAAGAACTGCTAGTCGGTCTGGCAGCTATGCATGCTCATTAGTGTAAGTACACTAATCTGAAAAGTTAATTGGCCACAATTTTTTTTAGCTCCGCTGTCGACTTTGTCGAGCGGAGCTTATCATATGAGTGATTATCCGCCGCTGTCCGTCGTCCAGTGTCCGTCGTCCGTGTCAATGTTTTACTTTTTCGACTTCTTCTTGAAAACTACAAGCCTGAATGCTTTGATACTTGGTGTATATGTACCTTGGGTAGACCTCTCTCAGATTTGTTCATTTCATGATCATATCTTCAATTCTCTAATTTTGGTGAATATTTTTGTCATTTTTGGTAAAAAGTGATATTTTCGACTTCTTGTTAAAAACCACAAGTCCAATTGCTTTGATATTACATATATAGGTACTACATGTGGACCACTCCCAAATTTGTTCATTTTCTAATGATATCTTCTGTTCTTTAATTGAAATGTGCATTGCTAACAGAGGAGCTATCTCAGCCGAGAGGCTGCTTGTTTTATTTAAACTGGGAATTTGAAAACAGAGAGAGAGAGAATTAGTTGTAGTTGTTGCTGCCTAGTCTGTAATCTTGCCTGTTTTGGTATTGTCGTCATTTATATTTACACAAGTACTTACTCCGACTGACGTCATGGCATCAACTCAGACTCAGTAGTACATGTACTTGTTACTGTCTCATTCAAGTTCAAGTTGCTGGTAAACATTGACAATAACTTTCACCTTTTTGCCATCTAATTATTTTCTTTTGTTTTACAGTGCAAATGGTGAGGTTAGGCACTGTGTGATAAACAAAACACAGAATGGATATGGATTCGCAGAACCTTACACGATTTACCATTCTTTGAAAGAACTTGTGCTACACTATCAACAGAACACTCTTGCGTTACACAACGATCAATTAGACACAAATTTGTCATATCCAGTCGGTGTACCAACGCCGCTAAATGAACCAGATCTCCCGCGATGATCAACGTTTAGAAGAAAACAAACTTTATTTTGTACATATCAACACATGTTTTTTCAGATGTTAAGTGAACATGCAGTTAAACAACAACAAAATTGGCTGATTGAGTGTTTAAAAAGTGGTTTCTATCCTACAATCACAGCATGGGGAATGTGAAGGAGAAGTGACTATTAGATGCAGCTTAATGATTACGATTTGCTAAGGAATGGTTAGATGCAACTACTGATAATAATCAGGGCATATGATGATAAAACAAGATCACCTAGCATTGTATTCAATCTATCGATAGTTTTAAACAAACTGCCTTCTTTATCGTGAAAACGAAACTTATTTTTCAAAAACTGTAATGTTCATATTTAATACTGATCACACAATAACCAAAAATTTACATGTTTCTTGTTCAAATTTCTTTCTGGTTTAATTATTAATTATTTAATTGGTATTTACATTGCCAAAGTCATGATTGATTTGATGTTTTGTAAATGGACTTGGATCCGGCAGATGTGAAATGAGTGGCAAAATATTGTCAATACATTGAGACTTGTGTGCCCTTGTTTATCCAATCTTGGTGAAATATCTGTGCTGTAAAACTAATTTTGATTCATCATGTTAAAAGTTACCAATCGTGTGTTCGGTTATATTTTTTATTTTTATTCTTCTTGGAGTGTAAATGCTCAACTCAAATCATTTTGTATATATTCGTACAAGTAAATTACACTTTTCCATTCCCTTACAAGGTTAGCGTATTCCAGTTGATTCAACAAATTGCCTGTTGACATCACAGTTATACCATTCTTGTAGAGACCGTCCACAGGCAATGTGTTAATGAATTGGTTGTACCACTAGCAAAGATAAGGGTGGAAAGGCTGAAAAACCTTTGTGAAATTTACTATCTGCAGTGCTATATTCAGATAAAAACTGATAAAAAATGCAGTGATATTTTTGTCAGGTTGTTTTTTAAAGTAGATGGTCCTTTTTTCTTTTTCTTTTTTGCAATGGCAGAATATTTTTTTCTAAAAACAAGATCATTTCTTTTGTATGGATAATTTTTATCATTTTTTTTTTTTGTAATCAGTGTTGAAAAATAGAGGTTCGGGCACAAAACTGAAAAATTATGCTGCTGAGAAACCATTTATCTTTCTTTTTGTCAGATATTAGCGTACAAAGTCAGGTCATAAAACTTTCAATGAAAGTCAATGACATGGAAATACTGCTGACAATATTTTTTTTTAATTGTTCAGTCAAATTTTCATTTTAAGTAAGACTTGAAAAAACTATCTTTATTGCCAAATGACATTTTTTTTTTTGGATAGAAGAGAAAAAAAAACTTAGTGTTAAACACATTTTTTTTTACTTAACCATTTCATCGGCAGAATTTACCTGCCATAGTTTTGGTGCCATTTTTTGTCACCTTTATTGTTGACTGAAGTCTGCATTGATATTTGGACCAAATTAACAGTATTTGACAATGCTCATATGTCATTCAAATGAAGAGGGAAAACTAATAACATCCCATAATATTCCGATGGTGACACAATACCAACAATAATAATGAAAGGCTACACATAATGATGTTCAAACCCATCTTCAGGATTTCAAACTGTTGACCCTAACTCTTTGACCTTTAACTCCAAAGTCAACTTTTGTTGCAGAATATATCTCTAAAACCTTTTCTTTATTTTTTTCAAAATTTTAATCGAGATCTAAAGACAATGGGTAAGTTTGCCCATTTGGTCCAAAAATAATAAAGAAATTATAAAATAATACTTAAAAATTTGCAAAATGCTGCACCAACTTATCGATGGTAAAATTGTTGTGGTCATAGGGTTAATGTCAAAGTATGATCAATTAAATATTTTAGTATAAATCATAAGCATTCCAGTCAATATCACTTTTTTTACATCATTAAAATATATAAGGCATGCATATCTTTCATATTCAAACAATTATCTGACAAATTATACAATATATTTCCAAAAATTTGCATTCAGTTACTGTTCTTATATCATCAAAAAAAAATTAGAGTTGCTCTATTTTTAATTGGTAACCTATATTTATCGGCGCACACAGTTATTCAGTGGTGCTGCAGTTAGTGTTTTTATCAACTCAGTAAAACTAGATTTCATGGGTTATTTGATGCTTAAAACATTTATCTTGTGTTCCTTTTGTTGTAATTGTTAAGTTTAAACATGGTTTGTTATTTTTTTTCACTGTACCAGTATGTAAGAGCTCCTATGCTGCAAACAAATTAGTTGCCATGGTAACACTGAGATACATAAAATTAGTATCCAGAATAAAACCTGTTCACATTTGGAGGGGGGGGGTTACCTCAAAATAGTTTCTGCAGTGACTTGTATAAGCAAATGTAAGGTACAAGTCCTTCTATAGAAATTTACATTGGTACTCGCATGACACAAACATTATTCTGAAAGAGGTTTCTTTTTTCAAAAAAAACACGTCTTTTTTTTCAACTACATGTATTAGGAGATTTGATATATGTGTGGCTAGGCACCATACATTTATCTTGTACTCATCTCTGATTTTCAAGTGATGGCCATTGTGTAGCATGTTTTAAAATGTTGTGTAAACAGTGCATTTTACTGTTGGTTCTATATTAAATAGGACACTTCACAATGTTCTATCCTTCTAAGGTATCCCCCCCCCCTCAAAAAATTCTCATCTTTACTTCTTTCCTGTATCATTATTTGCAACGATCTATGTTACCATGGAAACCTTTAAATCATAGTATCATATAATAGGGCTATGACATTGGCTAGATGCATCGTTCCAATGAGTATGGTTCTTTTGTTGCAGAAGCTGACATAATGCATTTGTTTAGTGTTTAGCTCATACCCAGAGATGGCAATACATGCAAATCTATATGACTGTACACTCTGTGGAGTCTGAAGATGATTTTGCTGCCTTTTATCGAAATTAGAAAAAAAAACCTCTGAACACTTGTTATGCATAATTATGTACTCAATTTGCATTAACTTCAGAAAAAGTTTTGCTAAGTGAGAAGGGTTTTAAATTTTAATGGACAAGTAATGCTTAGCTTCTGCAATGATTTGAGACTGTGCCAGTATGAATACTCTAATTAAAAGTTACATCCACCTTTATAAAAAAAATAACTTTATTGAATATTATTTTTTTTCTCAGTCCATGACTGTCTTGGACTTTTAATTATTTTTTTAATTACAGCTTGTTAGTTTTGGGATGACTGAAGCTGTTTAAGACTGTAAAATTTATTGAGGAGGAAAGTATATGCAAATAAAAGACTGTACTATCTATCACTTTATACATGGTTATATGTTTTTCTTTTGAACTGTAATCTCGACTGTCGTGCTTTGTTTATGTTTTGTGTACGCGTGCAGTGACTGCTTGGCACAAAGATAAAATGACCTCCTTTGCACCTGCTGTTATGTCCGGGTTAATAAAACAACTTATGGACAATGTACGTGGTCACAGCTGATCACGTTTTCCAGTAGTGATCAGTGGATGTTTGTTTATCAGGGACTTTCATATGCTATTTGGCAAAATATAAACATACACGTGTGACATCACAGTGTGACAGTCTGTTATGCATATCATACAAAGGTTTTCATGATGTCATTAGTTGTTTTAGTTGTGCTCACATTTAATTACAAAGAATTCACGTCCCTCCTGGATTTCACAATGTAAATATGTTTTAGAAACCAGGGCTCTGAGAACATCTGGTTTTGTGGAATATTCTAGTCCAAATAAACAAAATTTTGTGATTGGTGTTCATTAAAAGAAAAGAATAATTGGGCGTAATAAGTTTTAGACTAATTTCAAGTTGTACTGAAAGAATTCTGACAACACATTAGAAATTAGGTTTCGTTCCTAGCGCATCATTTTCCTGAAGTTCTATATGATTTGTCTATATGATGTATCCTACTTCTCTGCAACAGGTTGCTTAATATTCTGGTTTGTGTATGCTGCCCTCAATGGTTGTCACAATAGTGGACGCTACTTATAAGATTGTGCCTGATAGGCTACCAAAACACCTAACAGACCAATCAGAGAGCAGATTGTCTGTTGACGCTTATATACTTTTGAACTCAACAAAATCTATAAATTTTGTGTACAAAAACTTGCAACACAGGAAAATATGGCATGGGCTGCTCCTGGGGTTACCCACAAGCTTACTTGCGGATCAAGTATATACTTCTAATTATCCAAGGCCCAAGCATGGTACAGTGGTTACCATTGTTATCGTGTTGCCTTGCATCAATGAGTTCGTGACAAAACCATATACTCTATTGGGTTTAGGAGAATTAGTTTGGGACATAAAACAATTGATCCTGTTTAATTGTCCGTAGTGTATGAAAAAATTATCCTTGATAAGTTCTAGTACCGGTAACTGGAATCTTGTTGCTATTGATCTTTAAGATAAACAGTTAAAAGAATAAATATATTCCAGTACAAGTATCAGTATTTGGCATTGGTAACCATACCAATTTGACAGAAGTGACTGGAATTTATTTTGCCACAATTGAACAAAAATATAATTGTTTTAATTTTGACACAACAAACCAATAACCCTTGATTTGTATGAATATTTATGAATTTTAAACCAACCAACCAATCAATCAATGAGCGCAGTGCGCAATGGCATTTAAAACTTTCAATTTTATTTCATTGGCAAATAGAAACCTGGTTTTATTTTGAGATGTGAAATTTATAAATATTAATAAACATCAATGGGTTTGTTGTCTTGACAGTAACACTCAACAAATAATAATATCACTAAAGGCATCTTAGATAAAGGATTCAACTATGTGAAATGGGGGGGTGACCAGTGTATTTTTTTTATTTTTCTTGAATCTGCAAACTTGTTTTCCCTGCAACACCTTGCTTGCGTTTTTCTCTCTCAGTTTCTAGCTTGAAATTTTCCAGCCACCCCAATGATTTCAAATGGTCATCCCCTGAACCCCAGAGAAAATGTGCATGGTTTATGACCACCATGGTTTACTACTACCACTATTGGTTCAAGTTAGACAACTGCCAGCCAGTTTACCCCTGTAGTTAAAAAATAATGGTATCACCCACCAGTTGCATGGCACTTCTAGGGATTATGGGTAATAACTGTAAAATCTTCAGTTTCTCACTTTCCTGGCAGAAAACACAGGCTCAAAATTTGGAAGCTGCTAGTC